AAAAAAAATCATAGATAGAGCCTTATGACCCACTGTAGAATGATGCCAAATAATACATCAACGACGAAGTTTATCGGCAGATAAACGTGTTTCCATTCTCGGCTGACTGAGGAATGGTTTGAGAGAGCATTTAAAGAAGAGGCGGGCGAACCAATAGTGAGTAGGAAGTGTGCTGCAATCAAGACGAACAATACCGATCATAAGTGGACAACTAATAACCCCTAATTAAGCCCGGGTTACGCACTGCTGTGTTGACTCCTTGCTGGGGAGCGGTAGCGGCCTCCTACTGCTGTTAGTAATCACGCATTGTCTTCTAACTTGCGGCTTAGTTGACTCCTTGCTGGGAAGGGCTAGCGGCCTCCTACTGCTGTGCGTAACACACATTGTCTTCTAACATGCGGCTACACGTCGGTTGCATTGTATTAATAAAGTAATACCTATTCATAAGGAAGGGGGCGGATGGTAATCTGACGAGTATTAAATCAGTTATCGATTAAACGCGTACCAGTAGTCTTGTTTTTTATTGGCTATACGGTATATGTATTTATATAAACAAGCCTATGTATCACGCCTGTCTTTAATAAAAATGTGACCTAATGTTTGTCAAAATGCATATATATGTATGCCGTTTGTTACTCAATATGCTCAAATTTTTTTCATGAAAGTATCAGTAAGAGCTGTAACATTTTATTTGTCTTAAGCGACCACCTCTTATTTTACAATGTTGTAAGCGACTTGAATAATACACGTGTGTTCCAGCATGGCGGCTTACAGAGTTAGCACGTTTATGTTACATGGTGTCAGAAGTTGAACTTTTCAAGCTATTAGTGAGTCCTTACACATGCCACATAACATTTTTAATTGTGCGAGACACTAATTAAAATGGCGTATGCATTCGAGCAACCCAGTTTCGATTGGGAGTCTAAAAATTTGTACTTGGAATTTACTCGATTCCGACAGCATGCTGAGCTCGTTTTCAAGGGTCCACTATCACAAACAGATGATAAGATAAGGGCAGGATGGTTAGGCATGTGGATTGGAAAACAAGGGAGAGAAATTTACAAAACATTCACTTGGGAAGAAGATGAAGAGGATAAACCAGAAGCAATATTCGGCAAGTTTGAAAATTATGTAAGACCCAGAAAAAAACAAACGTGCACAAAGATTTAATCTCCAGAAAAGGAAGCAGGAGGAAGATGAGACATTTGACAGTTTTGTAAAAGACATCAGATTGATTCTTATGGATTGTGAGTACCAAGACGCTGAAGACATTTTAATTGACTGTATAATACGTGGGGTGTACCATCCTCGAGTTCAAGAGAAACTGTTAGAAAAAGGGGAAAGACTTACTCTAGCTCAAGCATTAGAAATAGGCAGACAGTATGAGTCATCCCAGCAACAAATGAAGATTCTAAGACCAGAAGTTGAAGTTTCCGCCATTAATCACAAGTCACATAAGGGTAAGGAAAGCCATGCTAGTAGAAATCCCTCACAAGCCTCTAAGAGACAGGAACACGTACCTTGGAAGCAAAAGAACAAGAAATGTGGTCAGTGTGGTTTAGATATTGCAACAGCCCATAGAAACAATACTTGCCCGGCAAAAGGAACCAGACCATTGGTATTCAGTATGCAGAAAACGAAAAGCCAAGGCAGTACACACTTTACAGGAAAGTGATAATGATGTTTACTATGATGATTCAGTGAGTGAAGATACATTCATACAACTGAAGTTGATGATGAAAATGTTGACTCTGTCAGTGCAGCTGAAGATAAATGGATAGTGACACTAGATGTCCAAGACAAGCCACTTAAATTTCGTATAGATACTGGAGCAAAATGTAACATTCTAGTGAAAGCTGATTATGAAAAACTTAGTCTTAACAAGAACTTGAACCAAACAACTAAAGTTCTTCACTCCTACTCTAATCACAAGATCCGCCCAATCGGAAAAGCACAGCTTTCAGTGGCATACAATACTACTCAGTTGCCAGTTGACTTTGAAGTAGTAGACATAGACCAGGAAAATGTCATTAACGGTGCAGTTTCAGAGAAACTTGGGCTCCTCCATAGAGTCAGAGTTAACAAGGTAAACAGTGTAGATGATTTCACTGAACTTGCCAAGGACACAGGTACGCTACCAGGTAAGCATACCATAAAGATAGACCCAACAGCAAAGGGAGTTATACATCCAGCCAGACGACAGCCAGCATCACTGAAGCCACGCATCGTAGAGAAATTACAGGAAATGGAATCAGATGGCTTCATTACCCGAGTCCATGAGCCAACTGAATGGGTCAGTTCAATGATTGTTTCATTAAGAAATGATAAAGTGAGAATCTGTATAGACCTATGTGATTTGAACAATGCAATCAAAAGAGAGCATCATCCACTGAAAACTATTGAAGGAGTTGTAGCTAGTATTCCAAAAGCCACAGTGTTTTCTGTGTTAGACGCCACACAGGGATTTTTGCAGATACAGCTTGATGAGCAGTCATCCTTTTTGACTACTTTCAACACTCCAATTGGCAGGTACAGATGGCTTCGCCTACCCTTCGGTATTAAATCAGCGCCAGAAATCTTTCAGAGAATCATGGATGAAATGCTTGAAGGCATAGAAGGTGCCACACACCGCCTGTATTAGCTTATTATGATGTTAACAAGCCGGTAGAGATTCAGTGTGATGCATCAAGAAATGGACTAGGGGCAGTGCTAATACAAGATGGCCGACCTATAGCATACACGTCACGTTCTCTTACTGATGTTGAAATGCGTTATGCTCAAATAGAGAAGGAAATGCTCGCCATTGTCCATGGAGCTATAAAATTCCACTGCTACATCTTCGGTAAGGAAACAACAGTGTACACAGACCACAAGCCATTAGAAANCATCATGATTCGATTTTCAAGAAGGTTATTCAGAGAGCTACTGAATACAACCTAAAGCTCAACTTTGATAAGTGTCAGGTGCGTCAGCCCAGAGTTCAGTATGTGGGACATATCCTCACAGCAGAGGGCCTGAGCCCAGATCCAGAAAAAATGCGTGCAATAACTAAGATGACACCACCCACAGATAAGGATGGAGTACGAAGAATACTTGGTCTTGTACAGTATCTAGCCAAGTTCATAACAAACCTGAGTCAGGTGGATGCCCCACTGAGAGCATTATTGAAGAATGATGTGTCATTCAAGTGGGAACATGAGCAACAAGACACCTTATGAAATTAGAAATTTCTGGGACTCCAGAGACCAATTGTCTGTGTTTGATGGTGTAATCTACAAAGGCCTCAGAATAGTTATTCCACCGTCATTACAAAAGTACATGCTTAGCTTGATACACGAGTCACATCTTGGAGTTGTGAAATGCAAACAGCGTGCAAGGGAAGTCATGTTTTGGCCTGGAATGAATATGGAAATTGAAAACATGGTGAGAGACTGCATAAAATGTTCTGAGTATCAAAACAGGTTACCCGCAGAACCGTTGAAACCGACCGTCCCTCCAGATCTACCCTATACTGAAGTTGGTTGTGACATATTTGACTTTGGAGCAAAGAAGTACCTACTTCTCATTGATTACTATTCAAAGTACATTGATGTTGTAGAACTGAATGCCGCAACTACAACTGCTACAATCAATGCTATGAGATATGTGTTTAGTTGTCATGGCATACCTCTTAAAATCAGATCAGACAATGGACCACAGTTTAGTTCATGTGAATTCAAACAATTTTGCAAAGTGTATGATATTGAACATATGACCTCCAGTCCTCAGTACCCAGGTTCAAATGGGGAAGCTGAGAGAGCTATTCAGATTGTGAAGAAAATGTGGAAAAAATGTGATGACAAGTATCTTGCTCTACTCAACTACAGAACTACACCTTTGGAAGGCATAAACTTGTCCCCTTCGCAGTTGTTAATGGGACGCAGACCTAGAAACACACTGCCTGCAGCTCGAAATCTGTTAAAACCACAGGCATATAACCAACGAGAGGTGAAACGTCATTTTAGCCAGGAGAAACTAAAACAGAAACATTATTATGATCAAAGGAAAGGTGCTAAAGAACTGAAAGCTTTCAACCCTGGAGAACATGTGAGAATGCAGCCTCATCCAGGTTCAAAAACATGGGCACCAGCCATTGTTGTTAAACGTCATGTACACATCCAAGATCATACATAGTGGAAGGAAATGACCGTGTATACAGACGTAATCGTCAGCACTTAAGATCATCAACAGAAAAAGCACATCACTATAACCCTAATTTTGTTGACTTAGAGCCATGTGATGAGCCATTACATTCACCTATCAAGGATCAGCATATAGTACCTGAGGAGACAGTAACACCAACCCGAGATATTGTCAAGGATCAGTGTAAAACAAAAACAGGGACACAAGCAATTAATACCCCAATTGTAACAAGATCTGGTCGTGTGGTGAAACCGCCAGACAGATTAAATTTATAACTTGTGTTTTGTGAACGATTCAGTATTAATTTAATACTACATGTGGATTTTCATGTGGACTTGCTTTAAAGCAGTTTTAAGTTATAATGCAAAGACTCAGTCAAAGACTTTTATTTAATTTTTTTTCTTTCATTTAAATGGACTGTTAAAGACATTCTCTGTGGAGCATGAAATGATTTCAAGTTAAAGTGAACACTCACAAAGAACTGTGAACACCAAAAACTGAATTTATTTTAATTTACATGCTTTTATTTACTTTATTAATCTTAGTTGATTATAAAGAGGGAGATGTAACATTTTATTTGTCTTAAGCGACCACCTCTTATTTTACAATGTTGTAAGCGACTTGAATAATACACGTGTGTTCCAGCATGGCGGCTTACAGAGTTAGCACGTTTATGTTACACTCACTGCATGAGTACATAGCTCGTACTCATAGCACTGGCTGACATTCTAGCACATACAGGTATATTAGCAGTATTCTTTGGGTGGTCATATTACATCGGTGCTTATAAAATTACACGTTGGTCCTTACTTTCTTTTACATGTTCTTCAATTTATTCTATTCATTTTTACTGAACATATGTGGAAATATGTAACCATTTAACATAACATCCAGGGCGTATTTCCTGAATTGTGGGGCTCTACACTGAATGTATAAAAACAGAAAAAGGAGAAACGCGCACTGGTACCGCACCACTTTCAAAAGTTTTCCTGATGAGAAACATAATACTTTTCTTTTATGGACTGAGATCGGTCTGTATCACCCTGAGCTTCAGAGCTAACTTGACACTAACCTTTTCACTGTAGCCTATCTCCATCGTGTCAAGTAATAGTCCCCTACCTNCAAAAGGACTAGATCAGAGACTCTGAATGCTCTTCTCACATTGAACATTGAAAGACTTTAAGTTAAAGTGAACACTCACAAAGAACTGTGAACACCAAAAACTGAATTTATTTTAATTTACATGCTTTTACTTACTTTATTAATCTTAGTTGATTATAAAGAGGGAGATGTAACATTTTATTTGTCTTAAGCGACCACCTCTTATTTTACAATGTTGTAAGCGACTTGAATAATACACGTGTGTTCCAGCATGGCGGCTTACAGAGTTAGCACGTTTATGTTACAGTGGGCAGAGTCTTATTATTCAATGATGATAATAATAATTGTAGAAGTAGGGCTACATGTAGTCGCACAAAAGCACATTCCTTAATTCTGTGATCTATTCTAGGGTGTAGGTTTTCGTATATTTTTTAACTGCCAGGTAAGCTAACAGTTTAATTACTGCAACGTACAGGTAAATTGAGAGTTGCGCTAAGATCACCTTCTTCCTATCTCTCCATCAACATATTTCTTGAGACTGCCTTTATTTTTGTTCACTGTTCCACAAGGATAATTATCAAACGAAGAACATTGTATGGAGAAGGGGTTTTTACTCATTATTTTATTCATGAAACAATAAGCAAACTGCTCGTTTCAGCAGAAGGATGGGAATATAAAACCATTTATTTAAAATAAAGTTCTTAAAAAACTGCTTGCTTAAAGCATTCCATCAAGATACACGTGAACTAAATCTGGATTGAATAAGTTGTATGAATAATGTCATAAAAGAATATTTGCTATATGAATATATGCCAGACATTTCACTCATTGCGATGGACAGAATATTCTGCTATAAAATCGAAAAAAAAAAACAGAAGGTACTGGTGACAGCCCGTATCGGTAATGTATAATTTGGCAGAGCAAGCTTACATGCACCAAACCAAACAAATTTCAAAAAACAATTTTTGTAACATATTTATTGGTAATGGTAGCCGGTCAGATTCCTTGAAAACATTATATACGGTAATTCTCCAATCTATACGAACGCCGCAATAATTACGAACGAAACGTTTTTTCTCTGAATCTGAATTTTTTGTCTCCGTTCTGTACGAACGATCGCTAAACTCACCTTGGGCACAATTTAAATTTTCCGAACGCAAGAAAGTGTGCCCGATTGAAACTCGCCCCATGATTCGTCAAAGCGAGGTTTCAGACCACCGTTCCAAACAAAGGAACTGCCACTTGACAGGAGAGATTGTTTTCATGTATTTGTGCTGTTTTTGAATGAGACGATAGGAGGACTCAACCTGCCCGCCGGCAGCTACAGGCCAGTAGTTTTAAAACCCTATTGTTATTGAGAAATTGTTGACAGCATCAGTACGCATAAATTACTTACCGTTTATTATCATTTTTTAACTTCTGCCGGCTGACTGGATCATCAACATCCACCATCAGTGTTTCACCGATAACTGGTTTCTAGTAAAATCTATAAACTTGAAACCCACGCACAACAAAGAGTATGAGAAATCCATTGTCAATGATCGAGTTTTTCATTTGTTTTTGGTAGTCATCAGGAAATTATTTTTTTAAGAGGAGTTCTGTCTTGTATTGTGTTTATTTTTCTAATTTGAGTTGTGATAAAGTTAATGTACTTTTTGTTTGTTTGTTTGTTTGTTTGTTTTTCCTTGTTAAAGGAACATGAACAACTGTTAGGTAAACCTTACTGATATTAGTGATTGTGAAAAATAAAGGTGCCGTATGACCTTATACAAATTTGCCTGCAGTTTTCTGTATTTTTTCTAATTAAGTTTACATTGATCGCGTGCAAATTAATATGCTGTAAAAGACTTTCATAAATAGACTTGAATTGAGCTGATGTTATTTTTTATATCAAGTATAATCTCTATTAACGTCAGTGATATCTACTGTGAGGAGTTTCAAGTATTTTGTTTTGGCGGGAGAAATTTATGTAGGCCTAATGGGGGGGTGTGTGACATTATTGATATTGCAAATTTTCTATATGTGAAATCATATTAAAAGTAAACACGCAATAAATAAAATATGCAACTGGATACGAAAATATTCTTGTCTGTTTTTGACAGAAGTTGGGAAAAACGATGTTGTCCTGTCTTGGTAAAACATAACAGGGAAAAACGATGTTGTCTTGTCTTGGGAGAAATGTACCTCTTTAGTATGAAGAAATTGTTTTTTAACTTGAATTCCCGACTTTTGTTTAGTTTGTTTTAATTCATTGCAATATCGCAAGAATAATTTGTTTGTGCTTTTAGCTGATCACAGTGATTTAATCTGAAAGTAATGCTTACACTTAGCAATGTAGGTAAGTGGAGCATTACTTCAGGTACAGCCGTATTCCATCCGTATTTCAATGGATACGAACGCGTGGCAATTTTTAGCAGACTGAATTTCAAGCCTTACGAACAAAATGATTATCTTCCAAAAATAATTAATTTAAATTGTTCGTATAGATTGGAGAATTACCGTAACCATACTGGCAGAGACTAATAGAAAAGTGCAATAAAAACAGATTGGCTAGGTCAGCAAGTAGATGTAGTTATCGATGAAGATTACTTCTGACAAATGAATTGCGGTAAAAAATGATAAAAATTTTCACCACAATCAAAATAAGCCGTAAAGCCAAAATGTCACAAAAGATGACAAAATTACAAGTAAGACGTGGCACTTCTTTGACTTTGGCATTTTAAGTCCAACAAAAGATTTTGGTGACACGTTTAGTCAGAGTTTACCTGCCACGTAAGTTAGATTAATAACTCCAAAGAACAGGTAGACTGAGATTTTCGATAAGATCATCCACTCATTTCTCCATCTCCGCAATTCTTTGGAGCGTCCGATAAGATCTAAAGGGACTCGGGCACGTGGATTACACGCAATTACCATGATCGTTGATTATCTTCCTTAAATGCTTGCTTAAGCTCCGATCATCTATTTTTAGCCGACTCCATGTTCTTAGAAAATCCTTTAAAAAACCCTTTCTACAAGCATTTAATTTGATGTACGAGTCAATGGATATTATCGTCGTCGTCTTAATCTCCAATTGAATACTCCGCGCCGCTTCATAATTAAAAGTAAAAAAAAAAAGAAAAACATGTTTGGATAGATTACCTGGCCCCTGTTGTTCTTCGTGATCGAAAATGATGTTAAAAGGTTAGGGCAAAGCCAGGTTAAACTGCAATCAATTATATGTTCAAAATTTATAATAGTGTGAGCATTTCAATGTAATAATTTGAGATGAAATTGATGACTCAAGGAAAAACGTACGTAAAATACGCCGTCTTAAGCCTAGGTCTCAACCGAATGTACGGGCTGCTACTTGTGGTCTACGGCCAAAAAAATGGGGAAAACGTGGGAGTTTGTGCGTGAGGAGCATGTCCATCGTGCGACTTTTGGAGGACGCAAACAGCACGTAGAAACTTTTTGACATGATCAACAGCCGCTATGTGCGATCTCGCTACGTCCTTGCCGGACGCTAGTAACCTGAAAACCGTGCGTCCAAAACGTAGTTGGGACCTTGGCTTTATTAGGATTATGGATCCTTTATTTTTAACATTCAGAATCAACAACACATGGGAATTTTGAAATTTTCAACACAATTAACAGCAAAAAAATAAGTAACTATGTTCTATATACGCAGCAAAAACGTCTATTGAAACAATTTTAGGAGAAACATTTTATATTGTAACTGAGCCTTGAGAACCAAGACATCATTAAGAAAGAAAATACTATCTAAAATACTACCTAAAGGACGAATACAATGAAAGCGTGCCCCATGTAGATGAACAATGATTGTGTGCAGTCGGGCAGATAATCAGATAAGCGGCTGGGACTTGGGAGATGACAATTAACGCTGTCGCTCAGCAGCATCAGTAGAGGGAGAGGTGGCAATTAAGGCTGTCACTCATCACCTCAAACGAGGCCAACTCGACTTACTTCCCGTAACCCAGCTGACTTACGCAAAGCATTGTGGCCTATTGTGTTTACCCTGTAATTATGTTAAATGTGCGATACGTAAGATTATCCGTATCCGTAATGTCATGTTCTCTGCACAAAACTGTATTGTGGAGAGCTGATTTCTCAGAAGGAAGCTAAACAGAGAGAGAAATCACTCAAGTATCAACAGTCTAGTCGACACTGTTATTTGTTTTTTTTTTTCACACATGAAGATAGAAAATTATGGTAAATGTTTTATTTTTTTACACAGGGTTACTACATAATGTTCCCATATATTTGAAATTAAAATGGTTAAGATGTAAATGTTCAAATAATTTATTATCATTATTTTATTTATCATTTTCACTTTTCTGTTAGTATTTGATTTTTTTTTCAGTCTTGATGCAACAGAAACTTATTCAAGGGCTGGAAGAATGGTTAACGATAGCCCAAAACCAAACGCAGTGGTATGTAAAATTACACTGACAAAAAAAAGACCAGCTGCTCCACATTTAGTGCTTTTTGCTCTTAAAGAGATCAACATAGGGAATGAAATTGTGTATGATTATGGCGATTCAAATAATTTATATTGGAGAAAAAAGGTATCTATTTTTCTGTTGCGTATAGTCTAGAAACATGATTAAAGGTATCTAGGATTTTGCAGCAAAAAACGATTTTTCTGGGGTGAAATGTTTTTCTCTTACTAACTTTTCTTTTATCCTTCTTGCCTGACAGTCAACATAACTCTTTTAAAATTTTGAAAATGTTTGTAAATCTGAGTGCTACACTAGTAGTTCAGAACTTTCAAACATGCCATATCACTTTCGGCTTGTGTTACTGTAAGACTGACCCAGAGACTTAAGTTACAGAAACAGTTTGTCATTATAGATACATTCAATAGGAACTTGAGTAGATGATTTAAGTACTTCACGTGGGCTTAAAACCTGCAAAAAATCCTAGATTATATACCTTTAATATGCATATGTCTGCATTGTATATTAATTTGATTTTTAATCAGTATGGCTCATTACCATCTATTTTTGTGGCATTCCTTTGCAAAATGTTTTTTCACAGAGAGTTACACCTGTATAAACCTGTTACTTAGGGCTACTGTCTTAAGTCCTTAGATATCTCAAAAATTATAGTGCTGCTGTAGAGATGATGTCTGACACCAGTTTTGAATTAAATAAGTAGTGTGCATCTTTATAAATGTGTATTTGTTTTAAGCATGGGAGGATATGGATGATGATGTGAGCGACAGTGGTAAGTTTTTTTTTCTTACTTTTACTGAAGCCAGGGGCTTGTGGGGCGGGGGGGGGGCTCTTGAGACACAGCATCACTCCCCACACACCCCATTTTAACACCTTCTACTAATTATTGTAACATAGTATACATTTGTACATGGTGAGAAGCAATGCTTAGTTCAGTACACTGATAAGGTAATTTTCTTTCAGAGTATGATCCTTATCACTTTGATTCTGATGAAGAACCTGTTGACAAAAGAATCAAGGTAATGGATACATGAAATCGAAATACTTTAAAGTTATTGCTTTTTTAATATAATATATATAAACTATCCAAAAGATAACATAAGCAACTGAATCTGTTAAAAGCTTGGTACTCGAGGGATTTATTGTACAAGCATGAATTGTTGTTTGGAGCATCTTGTAACTACAAGCCTTTTGCTTGATTAGGTGTGCTTTACTTTCAGAAAACAGAAGAGCCTGAGGAGATTGTAGAAAACAGTTATGGTAAGCCTATTATAAATTCCCTAAAAAATTCTGGCTGTAAAATGCTTTACATGAGGTTACATGAGGATAACAGTGAGTTTGCTAGGTGTAAATACAGTGGGTATACATATGCAAAGGTATATCAAGTGCATCTTTATTTTCTTAATTACTTTACACAAGTGGGATTTATGTTTATTCAGTCATTTATATGTATTTATTTATTTATTAAGGTGATGGCAGTAGCAGTGTTGTAGATCAATTTCCGTCCTTACAAAAGTACATAAGGTAAGCAGATCTGCAAACTTTCATTTTGCTAATGGTTTTAAGGCTGTATGGTATATTCATTTTGTCTCCCACTGCAGTTTGTGAGAAGAAAATGATGCATTGTCCTGTAATTTGTAAATACCCAACATTTCTTGGTCTCTGATAATATTATCATTGTTATCATTATATATGCATGCAAGGTAAAGTTACACTTCTGTATGGGATAATAAAAAGTAGAGGGAATAGTTGATTTTAATGAAGCCTTACATGATTTATTAAAGAAATGATCCATGCATTGATTCAACATAAGAGAGAGACATGTACTAGTACATTTATATAATAAATGTATATAGTTGTGCAAAACCTCCTGTTGGTAGGAAGCAATCCAATATGTTCATTTGCTTGTTCTTTCGGGTGGTATTTAGGTATAAATTACTATTTTGATTACTTTCCATATGCATGAAACAATCTATTAGAATGTGCTCTACTTCCAATTACAGACCTTCATTGGACAAGGGTGCTGAGTTAATTACTAGTGATGAACTTGTCTCGAGTGGCATCGAATGGGAACCCCAGGGTGAGTTATATTGTTAAATAAAAAGAAAGTTAAATTGACACTTGGTTATTTCCATTTTTAATTTTTTTTTAAACATAGTCAAATTACTACTGGAAATAACTGCTCAGAGCCAGTTCTTGTAAACCTGTGCTGGAAAATACAATTATACAATAGTGTTTTTCTGAATGCTGTTTTAATGTAAGGTCTGCTTATTACTGGTGCAATATCCAATTCTAAATTGATATCTTTTTCTGTGGAATATTACACAGTTCAAATTATGTTTTAAAATTCAAATTATTTACTCATGTATGTATACATATATATACAATATAAATGCATATCTTATAATTAACTTCTACATTTCACAACATTATTAATATAAATGCTTTGTAACTCACTAATATAAACTGAAATATTAAGGATTCCCCATAGGGGAATACTATTGTTTTTGGTAGTATTATAGTTATTATTCTTTCCGCGCGTTTTTTTTCGCAAAAAATCTGAAATAATTATCATAGGTAGCCTATGGCAAGAATATGCCACAGACCCAGTTTCAGTGACCTTGACCTACTTTTCAAGGTCACAGGGGCTTTTAAAGGCAAAATTTGTAAAATTTGAAATTGACATTAGGCCTTAAGTATAAGCCGTATGGCTATGTGCCTTATGGTCAGTGATACTGAGGTGAATCCACAGATAATGACCTACTTTTATGCAAGTAGGTCAAGGTCGCTAATGGCCAAACGGGCTCAAAAATGGTTTGTTTCCGAGATCTCAAAAACCGGAAGGCCCAGAGCCCCGATCATAGTGGCAAATGATGCCCTATATATTTATCTAAGGTTAGCCGTACTTTGGTAGCGACTGCTTAATTACTTTTTTTAATATAGATTTTTAAATATTTATGACATTGCAGAAATCTTGAGTTTGGCAGTTTCTCCATGAAACACTGGTTTTTGGTCATAGCATGCTATAGTAAACTACCCCAAACATATACCCAAAACCCCCAAATCAAATGTCAAATTTGACCTTGACCCTCATTTTCAAGGTCATTCGGCTATTTAATGGAGAAATATTGACGTGGGCTAAAAGTGATATTTTGTTGACCCCCTCCCCCCCAATTCGCACATGCTCTTTCAGAATATGGGGTCAAATTTAACCCATGACCTTCACATGACCTTGTAAGAGCATTTCCACACCTATTTTGCAGGGGAATCCTCCGCCACTGGCTTTAGCCAGTTGCAGTCTAGTTATTCTTGTATCTGAGGAAAAGAGTCCTATGTGCCTGCTATTGTGTGTGAGGTTCAGTCTTTAGCTACTTTTACAGAGAGTGACCTTCAAGATTCTTCAGAGCTTTCACCAGAAGATGTTATTAGATTTGGCGATAAGGTATTTGTTATAAGTGGAAATATTTGCTTTTAGATGGCAAGATGTATGTACATGCCGGTACAGATATAATTCCATTCCCCTTCCTCCTCAAAAAAGAGAAAAAAAATTAGTCATACATACTGGTAAAAAATTTACCACTTAGTCAAGAAGGATTTGTTGAGTCTACTGTTTGATAACCGTCTTTGAAGTAACTTGCATAGATACTGGAACTCTGTTACTTTATCTGTTATAGCACAAGCTCCAGGCTTTGGAAGAAACTGTGATTGGAAATGTATGGTGTCAAGAAACCAGGTACATCTTTTTAATTCCCTTACTCTTTAAATTCTGCAGTTAATTCACAACCATGGGATAAGTACATGTAACTAATTCAAATATCAAACGTGAAGTATTATCTTTCTACTTCTACGCAAGGTATTTAAGTGATGATCCTCATAATGTGGCCTGATTTGCCTTGTGCCATAAATACTCAATATGTTCAAAATGTTCAATAACCCCTCCCCTTTTAAAGGAATGACTCACAAGAAAGAACTCGGCCAAAAGAGCCTGTTGTTGAAGAAGTAGAGCAAATAACTTCCAGTCATTGTTGTGGAGTCTCCAGAAAGGTATGTTAATTTTTTCATTGATTAATTTTTATTTTATTCCAAAGGTGTTTGAATTCATAATGTTAAACTTAGTATTTATATATTCTGTATATACAATAATGTTTATATACTGTTAGCAGTTTTTCTTTGACTAAGTTTGTTTGTGATCATTAGTTGTCAGCAGATTAATCTTGAGCCATCTGGATTGACAGTTCCTCAATGAAGACATGCATGATCAAAAAAGGGTATGGCTGCATGAAACAAGTTGAAAACATGTCGAGACCTGGCTAAAATATCTACTGTCTATCTTTTTGTTATAGCATGAGGTACCCATCCAGGTTTTGGAAGAAATGGAGAGTGAAAACATAAATGGTTTGGAGACACCAGGTCTCTTGTCAAGAGACACTCTTTTCTCCCCTTCCTGGTTATATTTTCCATTAAATTGACAACCTTAGCAAGGATAAATTACTCATTCAAATATCAAATGTTATATGTTTTCTCTCTTCATCTATGCTTACCTGTAGAAATAACCAAATGTCAACAAAGTGTAAATTTAAGTGCCATATACTTGCCATAATTGTGCCTTAGATATATACTGCTTATACGGGTGTCTTATACCCCATCTCTTTTTTAAGGGAGTGAAATGCAAGAAAAGACACTGCCAGAGAAGCATACAGTTGAAGAAGAAACAGAGCAGTTAACTTCCAATTCTGGCGTTGGGGTCTCCAGAAAGGTATGTTGAAAGCTATATGTATTACTGCCAAACTTTGTTGTCTTGAGTATTTTCACCTTCTTTTTGAGGTATGTGTATGTAATCAAGATTGAATTTTTTTGTTTCGATGTTAAATTGTGATAGATACATTGTTTTTAAATTTCAGAAGAGACCTGTAAGGTATTGCCCTTACTGTGACATACTGATTAATGGTGGCAAATTAAAACGCCTTATTCAAAGAAAACACCGGGATATAGTTGAAGTCAAAGAGGCCCTTAAACTTCCTGTACATCTTCAGAATAAGTTCTTCAACCAGAAGAGGTGTGATGGGATGTATAAATACAATTTGAACATCATAGCAACATCTACAGGTGCTGAACTTGATTCAAATGTGATGATGAGAGAACGCATTGCTACAAGACCAGATGAAGTTACTATGTGTTCAGGTTGTAGAAGGTTGTTTTAGCAATAGATCTTACTACAAACACCTGAACCTCTTAAGGCTACACACTTAAAAGCCATTGATGTTCATAAAGACAAAGATTTCTGTATGAATATATTGCGGAAATTCAGAGACAATGAGGTTGGACAGTTGTGCACCACAGATGACTTGATTATGCAAGTTGGATATCGCCATTATTCAATGCGTCGCGAGGACAAGAGCAAAAGAAACGCAACAAGAAAGTCTGTCATGGGGGAAATGCGTGAGCTAGCAAGGGTCTTCCTCATATTCAGAGATTTGTGTGAGGAGAATGTAACCACTGAAGACATGTTCACAAGAAAGCACTTAACAACACTGAGGGAGGCCATAGAAAAATTGGTTAGCATGGATAACGGTGATGAAAAACATGGATTGAAACTAAACATTCATGCAATTCTACAAAGATGCATAAAATCTTTAAAAGGACTTTACACAGAAACAATGCAAGACTTGAAGTATGAAGAACTTGGCAACTTTCAGCAGGCTTATTTATTTAGGTCTCACGAAATGTATTCTAGCTCTCGATACAAGGCATTGTCTAACTCATTTACCAAAGCAAGGCGTTCTGAAAAGCAAGTTGTACCTGAAGACATTACCAAATTGAAGAACTTTGTAACAAAAGAAATTGCCAGACAACTTTGAATTTGGCAGATATGCTTGGTTGCGATCTTTATTTGTCTGCAGATTAACCTTATTCAATGGGCGCAGAGGAGAGGAGCCATCCATCTCAGTGGGAAGACGCCCAGAAAGGGGTGTGGCTACCAGATACAGAGGTGGAAAAAAGAGATCCTGCAGAACAATTTCTCTTTGGAAAATACCTTCCAGCTTACTTAAATGGGAAGGGAAAGAAGTTTGTCCCTGTCCTAGTGCCTAAGGACGTGGTAAAAGCTGTCAATCATTTGGTAAAACACAGAAAGGAGTTTGGGGTTCCTGAAGAAAATCCCTACTTATTTGCAACCAAGTCCCCAAATGCACATGCTTCTGGTTGGCACACAGTTAATGATATTTGCTCTGCAGAAGGTGTCACAGTCAATGCCACAAAGAACAGACATTATTTGTCAACTGTATATGCAAGTCTGGGCATGAGCCCAGCAGATCAGCAGGTCTTCTTAGATCATATGGGTCACGAAAAAAAACATCAGCAGAGATAATTACCAATGTCCAGTTGGACTCGGGGATCTTGAAAATGGTAATTGTGTTCATTTCATAATTACATGTTTACTTAAAATATGCTTAATTTCTTCATGACTATGTTAAACATTTTTTTTGTATTTGAAAATATTTGTCATTTAATCCAAACAGATATTTCTATGCATTAGATATCCATGATCTGTAAAAGACAAGATGCAGTCACTAAAATGAGTAAACATTGATTTGTTTTTGTTTTCAGTACCAGAACCAGAAACGGATTTAACCACTATACAAACAGTTGAGGCAAGTGCAACTGAAACTAAAGAGATTGGTAAAAATGAAGAACTTCAGTCAGGTAATAACATGCATACCTTTACCAAATAATCATATTATTTGCAAAACATTTTTAAGTGGTTAAAACACAGTGACAGTTTTACAACTACACTGAATTTGGGAAAATGATCAATTGAATAAAGTATATATTCCCTGTTATGTTTTTTAACATTGTTTTGCAGAAATTGTTTATATTAAATCAAAAAATAAAGTTTAATAATTCAGACATAACAACATGTGCATGGTCCACCTCCCAATAAAATAAATGTTATTATGTGGTTAATTTGCTTTGCAGAGTGCTTCAATCAATAAAAGATGTATACATATATTTTCTTTTCAGAATCAAATCTAACATGTAATCCTGTTACATTGATTGTAGAGGGCAAGAAATCTGTATCAGGTAATAACATATAAGAAAAGTAAACAATTGCTATCTTTTATTTTATAAAATGAAATGTAAGCTATATAAATTCAGAACAGCTATTTCTTTTTATAAGCTTCTAAAGTCCTATAGGCAAAACTAATGTCATCGGAGAAGGAAATTGTATCCATCACTTTGAAATAGAGGATTCAAATATGTTATAGATATATGTGCTTTTGTTCTTTCAGTGGCCTGGTCTGCTAAAGACACAAATATGTTGAGAGACCATTTTTTGCCATATTTAAGTACTCACCTAAAGGCTGCGGATAACAAAGGAAGGCTTCCAAGTAAGCATATTTTATTATATGTCATTTTCATGCATAGTACCTCTTAGATATAAGAGTCTGTATTTTTTATTTTTATTTTTTTTTTGTAATGACTAGAAGAATTGGACAATATGGTTCAAGGTGAACTTGTAACAGAGAGCAGCCAACTTTTTTCGTTTGAAATCATACGTGCAATTTTATTGAATAGCCAATTAGTACATTACATTGTTACATTGTAGTTGTGTACATTTAGAACTACAGGCTTCATACAATTTTTGTCCAAACTGTATATCTGTAGAGTTTCATGTACAAATATCCAATGGCATTTTTTAATTAGTTATTGAAAAGATGACTCTTTTTTTTTTCTTTAAACTGGAGGAGAAAATTAAAACTATGTTGCCACGAAAATGCAATTTTTGTGAAAATTTGTATTGCTTTTGGCAGAAGTCGTGTAAACAATACCAGATGGACAAAAAACATTGTGTACTTAAGGAAAATGAATATCTGTATCTAAGTGGAAATAACTTACTTTTAAAATCCAGGCCCACAAACTAAAAATAGTAAATTGCACATAATTTTTCTAACATCTTATTTTCCAAAACTGTAACGGGGACGTAAGGAGGTCAACCAGTGACATCATTCAGCCTGACAAAACTGAATTTTGTGATTCATGGAGGCTTTGCTAATGATATTAATATATTTTTTATTTACACAGAAGGTAAAAAAGAAATAATGACATTTCTTGAGGGCCACATGCCACACTGCCTCAAGAGTTTGGAGTTACAAGAGGCCTACAAAAAGACCAGGATAAAGATATTCAATGAGAGAAAAACAATGAGGGAAAATGTTAATAAAAAACTTCAAAGAATATAATGCAACTGTTGGAGGATGACTGTTCTTGAAATGGAACANGCGTACGCAACAATTGTACCTCTAAAAGAATCTAATTGTAAGAAAAAAGTAGAAAATGTAAAAACTTACCTGGCTTTACAAGAACAAAATGAATCGGACAACATTTTATCGCCGATTTCGATTTGGAGTTTGTGCAGTTCTTCAGTTTTCCTCATCGAGCGCCAACATTGTGCGTCACCATAAATTGTTCCGTTTCCCTCAGAAATCTTCACATTGTGAATATAACCTTGCGTAAAATAGTTCAGTCCTTTTTGAAGAGCCTTTTATGACACAGATTCACTATTCGGAAGGAAATTAACTGCGATATTTTCTGGTATGTTCTCTAAGGAATCTGACACGATGTTTGTCTGCTCGGTGGCCATTTTGACTATTGCTTGTTACACCTAGCAACAGTATCTAAGGGGGCGGAGCTTATCCGCTCATCTCGGAACGGCCTATTTATTTACATCTGAATGAGTTCGTAGTTTAGCAGTCACCGCTACTGCGCATGCGCAGATGGTCTTTTTCGTGTAGTTTTAGCGTTGATTGTTTTTAATGTAATTTAACCATTTTGTGTTTTGAAAAAAATTTTATTTCATTTTTTGGTACCTGAATATATGCTGTAAACATCTTGTATAGCCATCTTACATAACTACCTCGGCCATACGAGTTATTTGTCAGTGAATATGGGGTTACCTGAACATTTTATATAGAAAAGCATATGGGAGAAAAATTTCAGGCTTAAATATAAAACGCTCTAAAAAATAAATTATTTTAAATATGCAACTTTTCGGGCTCAATTTATTAGTTTTTAGCATAGTTCTTCACAATAAATTAAAAGAAAACAAAATCTGGGAGGGTCATGTTCCAATGCCCCTATGTTATTTTTCTGATTCTTACAGAGACTGGTACTTAATAGTTATTGAAAAGATGACTTTTTTTCTTTAAACTGGAGGAGAAAATTAAAACTATGTTGCCACGAAAATGCAATTTTTGTGAAAATTTGTATTGCTTTTGGCAGAAGTCGTGTAAACAATACCAGATGGACAAAAAACATTGTGTACTTAAGGAAAATGAATATCTGTATCTAAGTGGAAATAACTTACTATTAAAATTCAGGCCCGCAAACTAAAATAGTAAATTGCACATAATTTTTCTAACATTTTATTTTCCAAAACTGTAACGGGGACGTAAGGAGGTCAACCAATGACATCATTCAGCCTAACAAAACTGAATTTTGTGATTCATGGAGGCTTTTTTAATGATATTAATATATTTTTTATTTACTTTGAAGGTAAAAAAGAAATAATAACAGTTCTTGAGGGCTACATGCCACACTGCCTCAAGAGTTTGGAGTTACAAGAGGCCTACAAAAAGACCAGGATAAAGATATTCAATGAGAGAAAAACAATGAGGGAAAATGTTAATAAAAAACTTCAAAGAATATAATCCAACTGTTGGAGGATGACTGTTCTTGAAATGGAACACCAATGTTTCTTCAAACAACAGCAAAGTATATAAATATTACCTCCAATATTTCAGTTGGTGAAATTCTTCTCAAAGATTGTTCTCCAAAATATTGGAGATAATATTTCACATACTTAACTGTTGCTTGGAGAAGCAATGTGTTCCATTTCAAGTTCATTTTACAGTTGACTAAGTTTTTCACAAAGATTGCTCTCCAAAATATTGGAAGTAATATTTCACACATTTAACTGTTTGAAGTAACAGTGAAGTTCCATTTCTTGAAGATTGTTCAATGATGTAATGTGCTTGGTGGCAGACAAGTTACACTTAAATTGTGTCCACTGTCTGTTTTTTTTTTCTTCTATGCTTATGTAGATTGGTGCATGTTATTCATCCAGACTGTTCAATGATGTGACCTCAATAAATATGTTAAGACCTTACATATTGTTTATATTAGTTGTTTTTCATGTCACACACACACACAAAAAAAAAAAAAAAATCCAATAACGGGTAACATAAAAATAAAATGTGGGATTAGGTCAAAATTTTATTTTGCTGAAATTATCCTTGCTCTTTGGTTGAAAAGGAATGGTATGTTACAGCACTCATAAATTATACTCATAAATTGTAAAAGTAAAAATATACAACATACTGTCCCACAAATGACAAAAAATAGATAACATGAATAATTAAAATGTGCCAAAGTGTTGATCATTCTGAGTGGTAAGCACTCTGTGTTCCAACATAGTGCAAAAATAAGTAAAAATGTAGTTTGATATAAAGTCTGCCTAATGCTGGTTTTATATATATATATAGTGTAAATGGTCTGCTTATTGCTGTTTAGTTACATGTATGCCACATAAATTGTGGTTTGTGCTCAAAACTTAATTTTGATTTGCTAAAATTATCCTGGCTTTTAGGCTGTGAAGACATTGCTTTTTAAAACAATCCCATTAATTATAAAAGCACAAATGTATACAACATATTGTCTCCCAAATTACACATAATAGCAAGATTGCATGAACAAGAATAATTACTCTGCTAAACTGTTGGTTGCTGTGAGTGGCAACATTATGCAATAATTAATAGCAAACAAATGTATACTTTAATATAGTCTGCCTAATGCTGGACTTTGATATATTTATTCAAGTACATGTGGTCTACTTACTGCTTGTGAAATATATATATATATATATATATTTTTTTTTTTTTCTGGTCTGCCTAATGCTTGTCTAATGCTTGCCTAATGCTTTTTTGTATATTTTTTGTTGTTTATTTCTGTGCCTCTATAATCATTGCATGTGCATAATATTCATTAAATGTTAAAATAAAGTTATTTTTTCAATTATAAATGGTCATCTAATACCTATATACACGATGGTCTACCTAACACTGCTTTTACGGGTAGTGTCTGCATAAGTCTGGAACTAGATGTAAATTTTATACAATGAATGCACAATTTTGAATTCTAGGCATTTAACCAAATACATTTTAGACTGGTTGCCTAAAATACCAAATGTATTAGTTTTAAAAGCGCTGACATATCTGCTGCTGTCATTTGTCAAGCTATATATCAAGCAGCGTGTGCGGAGGGGATGCAGAAAGTGTACAAGGCCAATGTGATAGTGGTTGGTCAGGGAGGTATCGGGAAAACACACCTTTGCCGAAATCTGCTGGGAGAAGAGTTCACTGAAGGTGACCTGGTGACAAATGGTATTGCTGTGTCAGGATGTGTTCTGGAGAAACACAAAGCAGGGACCACCTTCAAAAGACAAGGTGATAAACAGCAGTGAACGGTTTGAAACACACCTTATTAATGGGCAGATATAATAATTTTGATATCTTAATGGGATACCCTATAAGTACTTGTACTTGCATGCTGTTCTGCTTTCCGTTTTTTATTTGTTCACCCTTTTCTAGTGCCCAATGTCTCTGCAACTTCTAGTTCTTGATAACAACACAAAATTGAATGCATTTTTGACATTTAACCTTTAAGATTCCGCACGTCCAAACCGTAAGCCAGATGTCGAAAAATAACAAAAACCTGCACAAACTATAAGTACTTTAACGGTTTATTTTTATTAATGTCGCATTTTGATGACCGCATAGTCCATTTAAAATATTTTTCAGATGAGTTCTTCACCAAAAATTACTATAGTGATACACTTGCCAGTGGCGTCAAGAAATACAAAGGATCCGGTATGAATACTGAATATGTATCAAGAGTAGAACGCAGATATTTTAGACATAGTCGTTACAACGTTGTGTTGCTAATTAGCATTTTATTGATTAAAACATGATATATTATGTTGTATTTTATTTATTTATTTGGGATTAGTTTGTTTCATTCTAATCCATTTTCAGGGTTGCCCAAAAATGGTTGTAATTCCCTCGGAAATCTGTTTTTAACAATATTTTAAGCATTTGAGGTCTGCGTGTGTTAATATTTAGCTCCTATTTCCCCAGTATTTCCTAATCATTTGACATTTGTCAGATACAAGCAATGTCAACGTTTGACAGCTCCGACATTAAGTTAAGGGTATTGGGGTATGGGAATGAGTGTTGCTAACTTGGCTATATAAGGGATATGTGTGCCTTGATATGAAGTGGATAGTTAGGGTTAGCGAGATATGTCCTCCATCCAAGTATAAGTGAAACCATGCCAGGACCTACTGACATTGGTCTACGACTGAGTTCTCATGCCTACCTGGGGAGCCTCAGTAAATTGCAGTCAACCAACTGGCTTAAATGTCTGTCACGAAAAAAAAAAACTTTTGATAAGAGACCAACCACCCAAACCCCCTGATATGAATAATATTGAACATTCCCGGGACAAATCGGTAAGTACTGTATACGGAAGAAACCATGCAAAAGAAAATCTAAAACAGTTTAGAAAAGATTAGACCCAAGAGTAAAACAAAGTCGCCCAGCAATCATTGATCCTACCGCGTATTGCATATGGGGGTCACACCTACTGTAGATATGATAGTTGAATACTAGTCGTAATAAAGAAATGTGTGTGGAATTTTGGAATTGATTGTAACCTACCATGGTGCCTTGAAAGCCTTTCTGTTTTAATAGAATCCATATACAAAACAAGTTATTTTCAGGGGACATATTAAAGATAAATATCTCATCCACAGTAAATGTGCTATATAACCGTGCTTTTTTTATTTTATTCTTTTGCATGTCTAGTGATTAGATATTTTGTGTCTGCAAAAATACAACTGTACAGCAAAGAAAAGTTGACTTTTGTAACAAAATACGAATGATTATATTATGTGTGACAACCATTTTGAACAAAAAGTGTGTATGGTATATTTCTTCTCAGGAAGAGGTAACGCGAATTATTTAAATGTTTTTTAACTTGCAGAGAATTCTTCAAAGTCAAGGAGTGCGCCTGCTTTGATAGAGGTTAAAGAAGACGATGAAACAGTGAGACAGATACTTGAAAAGAGCGACGGGCTTCCACAATTCCACGAATCAGTGACACTCTGGGACTTTGGCGGTCAGTATGTTTTCTACACGACACATCAAACTTTCCTCACCTGGCGAGCTGTCTACTTACTGGTGTTTGACCTCACCAAAGGTTTAAATGCACCCGTCCACGTGAAGAGAGGTGGCACAGTTAAAGATATCAAAGTGGATATCATCCCTAGCACTGTTGGTGGTACGCATTCGATAATGTTTTGTAAATGACGTTTATTCTCATGTATGTACAACTCCTAGTATGAATGTTAACAGAACTCACTGTGGCATTTTAGGTCACGTGTGGTTTAGAAAGGCAAACATTAAAATGACTATATATATAATGGTGCATGTTTTATGTAAAGAAGGTAATATAAGTTCATTTCTTTTCAGATTTTTTAAAGTTTTGGCAAAATTCTATCCATGTGCAAACTAAGATAGTTGATCACCTGGGATTAGAGTATATTTGTCCTAAAATCCTATTAGTGGGGACACACAGAGATAAACTTGGACATACAGAAGAGGTAGGGGCTCAAAATATGAGTTAAATTATTATTATTATTATTATTATTATTAAAAGCAATTGTCGTCTAAGTACATTAGAAAAAATGCTCTTGATAGCTTTCGTAAACTACATTGAAAAGTTTCTAAACTCCAAGTCATTTATTCAATATATGGCTTACATTCGGTTTACAGGAAAGGAAGAAGGCAGTAGAAGAAAGGTTTAGTGAAATTCAGGAATACCTGCGCAGGAGACCGGCACACGACATGCACGTGCAGCCATATTTATATGCTGTGAACAACTGCGACCCTCAGGACGCTGGAATACAAGAGTTAAGACAAGAAATATGTAAAACAATCAAGGAGCAACCATACTGGGGTGAAGAGCAGCCGTTGAAGTACGTGCTTCTGGAAAAGAGACTAGAGGAGATCAGCGAAACTCGGAAGTGTCTCAGTCTTGAAGAGGTGCTTGAGATAGGAAAACAATATGGTCTGGTGAACGATGAAATGGTAATTCACTTTTTGAAATTCTACAGCGATCTTGGGGAACTTGTTTTCTTCAATGAAGATGACACTCGCAACATCATCATATTAGATCCCCAGTGGTTGATTGATGCCTTTGCATCCCTTATAACAGTAGAGAAGTACCACAAGGGCTCAAAACCAGAAGTTGGTGTTTATTGGGATCTGCTGGACGACAGAGGAGAACTGGATGACCGCCTGATTGACATTGTGTGGGAGGAACAGGCCGAGCTGAAGGAAAACAAGGCAATTCTTCTTCGCATTTGTCAGCGCTTTGATTTACTTGTTGAGCTACAGGAGGAAGGTGCTGACAGTCAATGGAAGAAGTATTTGGTACCTTGTTTGCTGAAAAATCACTCAGAGTCAGAAGTTTATTTGGGGAAACCCCAATGTCAATCAGAAGATCATTTGAAGATGCAGAAGATTCCTCCATTATACCTGATGTTTGACGGAGGATTCTGCCCCCCTGGTCTCTTTCATCGCCTGGTGGTCTGCTGCTACAGAAAGTGGTCATCTCACGACCAAAATCCATTCTGCAATTTTGCATGCTTCAAGGTAGATGATTCAATCCACACAATATTGGAGTTATGGAACGAAGGAAATGGCACCTTCAGACTCATGGTGGGCTCGTTGAAAAAGGATGTCAATCCTCTCGAGGACGATAATGCGTTCAATGTGCTAAGCTACATTACACATGAGTTATATCGTCTTATCAACGCCTACTTCCCTTACCTGAAGTACAGCATTGCATTTCGCTTTCGACACGGCCTGGTAAAACTGAAGGAATTGGTTAACAAGAAAGATACTCTGAAAACTGTTATCTTGGAAAAGGAAGACGTATGTCCACCTGGCTGCCCAGTGGTTAATGAAACTGCTCCGTACAGGAAGTGGCTCAGGAATAATGAAAATAAAGTATTTCCTTCCACCAGAATTGGTAAGTGTTTAAAGATCCTAATGGGCATTGCTTTGTCACTCTTTTAATTCTTCAAGTAGACATGTACGCCTTTATAGATATACTTTTTGCAGTGACGCTCGAGTCATTGCTAAGCCTATTGCATTCCACGCATGTTTATCACCACGTGTAGCTTAGCTATAATGCAGCAATCATATGAAAACACATACATATACAGGAATGGCATAATAGTTTGGGCATCTCAGTTATTAGGATATATATTCAAGAATTAACTTGAATGTCTAAAACCGATCCCTTATGCATAAACAAACTTAATTAGAAACTGTTAGTAATTGGAATAGATTCTGCAAGTGCAAAGCAACACGCACACACACACACACACACACACACACTCTCATATATTGCTTCGTATATGAAACCCCTAAATCTGCTTGAAATGTTATCACAACACTCATAGTTTAAGGTATTGTTTAATCAAATTGGGTCTGATGTGCACATGATGTCAGTTATTGTTGATTGATTCTTAAGAATTCTACTGTTTCATTTTCATATCTTAGCAGTCTATCCACCTGATGCCTTGGTATGCGATCTATCAAGAAAAATTGGATTCGAGTGGGAGGAAGTAGCTGCCTATCTTGGAGTGGAGAGACCTCAGATAGATCATTTCAAGCTCAACTTCCCCAGTGACGCACTTGGTCAGATTCGCAATATGCTGTTTCAATGGAGAGAAGGAATGGGGGCTAGCAGCAATGAAGAGCGCCGGGAAATGCTGAAGGAAGCGTTGGAAAGGGCTCGTCGTAAAGACTTAGCCGAGAGTATTGCTTCAGACCAAAACATAAATTAAAGAAAACAACCTAAACTTATAAATCAGTTTACATCATTAAAAACCGATTCCAAACAAAAAAGGAGTAGGAGGGACAAATAAACTGCTTGCTCATCAACATGTTACCTTTAATTCGCCAGAAATAGTGGAATAGCAACTCAGAAGTTCCGTGTTAGACTTTATTCCCTCATTCCCATCTAAACTATATGTATCATTCTACATGTGCCTACATTAAAAGATCTTGACAGAGCTAACAGACAGAGCTAACAAAACTGTGAGTTGACTCTTATAAACTATATTTAATTTCATTTACAATAATACAAAGCCAACAGGGAGAAGCAATATCACCAAACAATACCACCAGCCTGGAGTTAGGCACAACTTGTGACAAATTGCGTTTGTTTTGGTAAACTACACAGGCATCAGATCCACTTGGAGATAAGTGTGAGCATACTTTAAAAACTTATAGTTGATGGTCGATTTAGTTTCTCTACACATTTATTAGATCGACATGGACATCGGTGTTAGCATATTTCAAAATCATATACAGTTTATTTTGTATTTACTCTCCTGGCCATTTAAAACGGCGATTCATCCCTATTTTGTTTAAGGAAATTATGCTCACTCTGCTCGCAAACATGGGTCCGCCGGGGACAGTCAAATTCAATTCTAAATTTTCCTTTGTTAGTGACCATTAAATTGCAAACTTAAGTGTTGGGTTGATATTTTTAAGCGCAATTTTATGCATCAAGGATTTATTTAAAACAGTTGAATAAAGTTGTGACTCTTGTATCAATTTAACTGACAGAAGTATTGCATGTATGTTGATATTGGAATGTAGTTACTTCAGACAGTACCAACTTTTGAGAAAATTGACATAGTGTATTGGTTTGCATTGTAAAAATATTATATATTCATTAAGTGAAAAATGTCGAACCATTTGGTGATGATATACCACGTGTGACATAGGCCTACAATGTACACATTCATTGTTGTTAATTTGCTTATGGGGTTTTAAAACATTTAAGACTATAATTTACTACTGTATCCAAGGCAGTTTCAGTTGTAATAATATAACAATAATTTTAATGAATTATTTATTCCACTGTGATGTCATCCATTGTATGTGTCATGGCTTTATGTACTGCAGATTTTTTTTATAATTTAATATCCAAAACTTGAGTTAGAAACTCTATAATTTTGGGGCTGACAGGTGGAGTAAATTTCCTGTACATAGTACTTGTATCTGTTTTAGGTATCGTTTATTGTATTAAGATATTTGGATAGTGGTGGTATCCAACTCAAGATTTAATGAGCACTTGTAAATTTAGTCTAAAAGATGTAACTGAGTTCTACACAAAGAGTGGTTAATTTTGTTTCTGTTGGGTAAATTTTTTTTGGTAGAGATAAAGAGAAAGAAAAACATTATGCAGTGATTGAAAAAGTTGTTTAAATCATTGGTTTATGCACATTGTAGTTGTGAACTTAGTTTTGCTTTAGCTGAATAAGAAAACTTTTTTTCCTGATTAAAGGGATAATAATTCTTTGTATGAGATCTATATTTCACAATTAAAAATTGTGAATAACTCACAGAAATATAATATATTCTGTTGTACCACAAAAACGGCAGTTATAGCTATTATTCTGATACCTGAGCTGGTCTTCAGACCACGTGACCTCCATTGATGGCTATACTCTGTTACAATCTCTAAAGAGATTTTAACTAAAAAAAAAAAAAAAAAAAAAAAAAAAGGGACAAAATTTTTAATTTTAAAATTAATTATTTAACAATT